GGGAAAAAAAAAAAACTTGGCCAAGAAAAAAAAAAAAATTCCCAATCTTCACCCATTCTAAATTACTCCCCAAATTTAATAAAATCCTCTACGCCATATCTAATAAAGGAGTTATTTGGGAGTTAGATTTAAGGAAAATTGCAATTAGGTCCACTTAGGGGTGTTCAAAGCTGGCCCGTCCCAGTTGGCCCGTTTCGGTCCCGTCCCGGTCTTATTGGGACGGGACGGACATCTCGAAATTTTTCAGGACGGGACAAAGAAGGGACCGAGACAGGACACGGGACGGGGTCGTCCCGTCCCGGTCCCGTCCTGGTCCCGTCCCGGTTCTTTTTTTTTTTATTTTTTAATTTTTTATCCTATTTATATAATATCATTTTTTTCATATTTTTTTAAGATTTGAGACTATTGTATGGAAATATAGATATATTTATTTAGAGTTTTTATATTTGTTAATGATTTGAGATTATTGATTATTAGAATTTTTAACAAGTTTTTATTGTGTTAAAAGCTTTTGTTTAGAGTTTTTAATGATTATTATATGTAAATTTTGAGCTTTTGTTTAAGAGTGCCCAAACAAATAAAAAAAATAAAAAGATGTTTTTTATAAGGTTTAAGCTCAAAAAAATATAATTAAAAAATTCAGATTTTATTTAAAAAAAAAAAAATTAAAAAAAATGTCTGGGACGTCCCGGTCCCGTCCCAGATCCGTCCCGTCCCGACCGGGACCCGGACAACCCCGGGACGGGCCGGGACACGGGACAGAAAATCTGTCCCGTTACTGTTCATCGAGATGGAACCGGGACGGGCCTGTCCCTGGTCTCGATTCGTCCCGTGAACAGTCCTAGGTCCACCCAAGGGAATTAAATACAAAAAGTCCTTTGAAATTATGAAATTATTCTGACGACCTTTTTGCAATGAATTTTTTTTGTTTAATTACCAAATGACCCTTCATTTTTTTTAAAGTTTGCATTGACAACTGAAAGAGCAGTGATTGACAACTCAGGGTGCAATGATTGACAACTATCGCGGCTGGTTTGACAACACATTTTCTCAGCATATCACACCCTAAGTTGTCAAACCAGCCGCGATAGTTGTCAATCATTGCACCCTGAGTTGTCAACCACTGCTCTTTCAGTTGTCAATGCAAACTTAAAAAAAAAAGAGGGTAATTTGGTAATTAAATAAATAAAATTTATTACAAAAAGATCTTTTGAGATTTCAGAATAATTTTATGATTTCAAGGGACTTTTTGCATTTAATTCCCTTGGGTGAAACCTAATTGCAATTTTCCCTAGATTTAATCTTATATAGTATAATATCTAAATTCAATTTATCTCTCATATTTATTATTTTTTGTCAAATTAAATTACTTAACTTATAAAGTACTCCTTTGGTTTGATAAAAAAAAAAAAAAAAGAGTAGTCATCTGGTTCTATTTATAAGGTAGAAAAAAAAGGTTTTTCTTAGTCTTATTTATAAATCACCTCATAACATTTTTTTAGTATGAAATTACTATATTGTCCTTTGTTTATTCTAGTGTAGATGATTATTTTTTCAAAAGATATATATATATATATATATTAAATAGAGTATATTTTTTCCGTTCATGGACAATTATTTCAAGAGGAATAAGAGGGAGGGAGAAAGATCGGTCAAGATGATATGCAGATCATTTTCTCTAAATTAATAATATAAAAGCATCACATACCATAAAGTCAATGAAGTTGATATATTCCACGGACTTTGTCTAATATCAACTTATTATTGTGATAAATGTGGACATCATATATGTGGCATTATGCGTATATAATATTAATTTATTTGTCAGGTTTTTGCCTGCATAGGTCTTGTCTCGTCACATGGCTTCACGATTAAGCAATTAAAGTTCCCAAATCCACTAAACATATGATAAGATATGTTTATTGATTTCAAAAAAATATATTACTTTTATTTCTCATGTAAAATTCATTTTATAATGCAATTTTCTTGCCAACAATTTTGCAGTGCAAATTGCACTTACTAATAATTATACTTCTCATGTTCTTAATAAAACACTTAATTAGAGAGTTGATGTTGATCCTACACATAAGACCTATATTACATGTTTATCAATTTATTCTCAAATTAACTCCATTAATAATTTCCTAATAATAATCAAGTAGGAGAGGGAGAAAAAAATTAAAAAAGATGTTTAAGGTGTTTTAGAAATGATATATATTAACTAATTTAACTAACATCAATATATTCAAATTAGGTAATTAGATTTTACATTAAGAATATAAAAAATAATATTTTAATGTAAAGTTGCATGGTAGTTTACATATGTAGTAATTGAGTCTGATATTTTACTTTTACCTTCTCATGCAATACAAATTTTGCATTAAGAGAAACTCAATCACGAGTAGAATATATGTGAGGATATATAATTAGGCACTGACTAATACTTGTAATATTTAATTTACCAATAAGTGATTAATATATTCCTTCTCACCGAAAAAATTATTGATATATATAAAAAATATTAAAGAGCTTATCAAAGTGTATTAATTTAATGACTAAATTGCACAAAACTTACGCAAACATTACATAAAACCATATGCAAATTATTTTCTTAACATCTAATATTTAATAATAAATCATCCTAAAATTTTAGTTTCATGTAAATATATAATCTCAAACTATTAATTTTATATTCTCTTAAACCTTTTATGTATATAATCCCTTCAAACTTTTGAGTTGTATGTAAATAAGTATCTTAAATTTTAAGCGATTTGCAGATAAATAATGACTAAAATTAATTGCATCAGAGTTGCATGCATAAATACTAAAGTGTAAGGATTGTAAATTAGTTTCAAATGTTAGGGAGGTTGTTTACCCATGACATAAAGTTTAAGAATGTTTTCTATAATTTAGTCTTAATTTTTTTGCCAACTATAATTTAGTCTTAATTAATCACATGAGATTGTGCAAATGATCTCTCCGCATTTCGTATATTAACGGTTGGATGAAATTTGAATGTATAAAATGATTTTTTTTTCCCACTATTCTTTTTACTATGGTTTTCAAACCATCCAAATGAAATTTTAAAATTTTTTTTATTTTTAATAATAATTTTATAAAATTTTAAATTCGAGCTGCCCAAATTTCACAATGATCCAAATGAAAACAAAGAAGGGGGGATTAAAAAATCCGTTCTTTGAATGAATGGTAAATAATGATCAATGAAGGGTTTTTTTCCCAACAATGAGGTGTATGTAAATAAATGAGATGTGAAGTAGCTATAAGCTAGCTAGGTGTATAAATAATTCAGAAAATATGGACCAAAAATAAGCTAGAGTCATGCACATATCTAACCCTATAATGTTGTCTCACTTGAAAACAACAAGAAGGGTTGGATTAATTGTGTGCTTTCATTATTGCTTTCAATTATGTGTAGTGGCATCAACTGAATTGTCGAAAATAATTTCATGTTTCATAACTTCAATTATATGAGTCTTTTTTTAAAATCTTTTGTTGAATATTATAGATGTCACAATCGCTTCCTATCTCTCCCTTTTGATACGGGGAAAATCAATGTGTGCGTGTATGTATTTTAAATTTTATGGTTGGATTTTGCAAATTTTTAAGAGTTTATTTGCACTTGCAGGAGTGGGATTTATGCAATAAATGATTTTAGGTCGAGAGATAATATTTTATTTATATATATTTATATTTAATGGAAAAACAATTAACTTTTTCCTGAATAAACACATATGCATTCTCTTATTAGATGTATGTTTGAGATACTATTGGATATTAAATGTAAATAATTTTTTTTTTTGACAAAAATTCCAACCTTGACTCGCTACATGTAAGGGAATAATCCTTTATGCTAAGTCATCAAATTTTTCGTAAATTTCTTGATCGATGCTGATCTCTCAAGTTTACTTATTCGTGACATGTCCCGAGTAATCAATTCAATGTCTGAGACCAATAAAAATTATGACAAATTTTTCTAGAAAAATTTCAAAAAAAGACTGTTGAATTTCATAATTCTAGATCAGAAATTATTACAAAAATATATTATCATTTGCTTTTTTAATGTAGTTATTTTCTTTACAAGTATAGTAACTAATACTGATTTGGAATTTTGAAATTTAAATTTTTTTTGAGACTTTCCCCTCTCTTTTTAACGAAAAGGCAACATGATAAGTTACTTTTTTTTTCCCAAGCAAAAGCATGTTTGAAAAATTTGTAATGTTTGGATTGGCGATGGACTTATCTAACTTTTACATAAAAAGCTACAATAAGCTATTAGTAAAAATTAGCATGGAGAGAGAAAAAGTTAAGAAATTTATTACATCTTTTGGTTCTTACTCTAAGCCTCAAATAATTAATTTGTAAATAACAAAAAATCAATTAAAATTAGTTGAAAGTAATAAATAAATTAGAAATATACTTTTCTTTTTTTTTTCAAATATACCTATAGAAATATACTTTTGTTTTCAAATATGCCATTATAATAAATGATAAAAAAAATATGAGATCAACAGGAGCTTATAAATAAAGCAATGAACTGATAAATCGACTGCAAACTAATCAATATTCAATATTCATAATTATTAATTCACAATCCCAAGTAGCGTACCCCATTTATAATTGTTAAATGGGAGGGCCCTAAAGATAATTTAATTTTAACGATCCAGATTTAATTTAATTTTTATATTTAAATAAATTTTATTTTATTATACATAGAAAGAAGCAGTGGCATGTGTTGGGAATAATTTGGTGCTCCGTTGTAAAGGAGTGGATGTAACAACTTTTGAAGTTGCAAGCCAACACGGAAGTCCTTCCGTTCTCCAAGGTCCAAACACAAAGACCACAACTAATTAATCAAATTCTTCTGACAAGATCATTTATAAGTATCTTTATAAATATTCTTTAAGCCTGAAAATATGTCCTGACTCTGGTGAGTTTCTGAGACCCAACTCACTTAAATTTTTTTCCACCAAAAAAAAAACTTTTGGGTCAGGCCCGATATTTTTCCACTTGCCTTCAAAACCACACTCAAAATCTACAAAAATCACTTCTGCAAGGTGCAAATCCAATACAAGAATCCGCAGTCCCCAGTTTAAGGGTCCATTTAGCACAACATATAAATTGAGGAGGAATAGAAAAACTCTCTTTCAATAAAAATAATTAATGTTTAATTAACTTAAGACATAATTCATAATATATTGACCATAATTTTCATTTTTATGTTTTGTGTTAAGGGAAAACCATATTGGAGGTACCTATACTTTCTCTCAATTTTTAATTTGGTACCTATGTGTTTTTTGTTCTTAACTAAATCTTTATTTTTCCTCTATTAACATCATTAATCCTTATGTAGAGACTAAAAATATCAACAGAACAAAGTTATAAGAGCTAATGTTACTAAAAAGATAAAATTAAATGTTTAATTAAAAGAAAAAAAACACATAGGTACCAAATTAAAAATTGAGAGAAAGTATAGGTACCTTCAATATGGTTTTCCCTTATGTTAATTATTCAATTTTATGATTGGAAATGTGAATATTAATTACATGAATTTATAGTTTACCAAAAAAGATAAGGTGCAATAGTTAACTTGAATGCAAAAGGTGGAAAATATTAATTCTAGCCATGTACTTTAAATATGTAGAATTAATATAATTGCAATATGTGTGTGTCCTTAGTTTTGGGCATCTTGTGGATTAAACCAATAGAAACGTAAGAAGGGGTTTTTTTTTTTTTTCCTTTCTCTGTCTGGATACGGAAAAAGCCGCTTTTAGGCCTATAAACACATTTTGGACTGTAATTGTGATGTTTGGATTCACCATGGAGACAATTTGGCTTTTGTATAAAAAGCAAACAGAAATTTCGAAAGTGTTTAGATACAATTAAACTACAGTTTGGAGAATAGGTTTTGAAAACAAAGTTATTTTGAGAATAAATTTTTAAAAAATAGATTTTATGAAAAAAGTGATTTTAACAAAGTAAAAGTGTTTGGACAATTATTATCAGAAGCACTTTTTTTCATATACAAATTATTAAAAAAACATAAGTTAATATGATAATTATATAAAATGTAGATTTTAATTTATATTTTTATTTGAAGTAATAAATTTGTTAATAATTTTTTTACCAACATAATAAATAATATATATAAATTATAATTAATTAATAATTAATATATGTATATATCTATAAAATATAATCATTGTGAGGTATGAGATTAAATAATCAACCATCATAATCATTGTGAGGTTGCAACTGTATACAACATTTGAGCAACTAGTTTTTTTAACAACATATTACAATATAAAAAAAATGAAATAAAAAGGTAACGAGAAAGTGAAAGAAAATGAGAAAGAAAAGTAGAATGAGGAAGGAGAAAAGGCGGAGTTTTTGACCTTTGTTTAAGGATATTTTTGGATACTCACCGTTGGCTTTACTTTGATACTGTAATACTTGTGGGAAACCCACACATTCAACCTTTTAGAAAGAAAAATTTTTTAAAACATGGTTTCACAGGACCACACCATGGCTTCTTAGCCAAACCATAGTTCCAACAATACGTGGGTGTTTGGATACTTTTTTGGAGCCAAACCATGATGGAAGAAGTTAAAAAAAGGAAAAGAAGATAGGCCCCACTGTTAAGAAATTTACTACCATATTCGGTTCTTATTATGAGTTTTAAACAATTAATTTGTAGATAACAAAAAATCAGTTAAAATTAGATAGTAATATTTTTTTAAATATACCCTTATAATAAATAAAAAATAAAAAAATGTATGAGTAAATATAACGAAAGAAAATATGACAATGGAGAAAAAATAAATAATATATTTAATAAAATTCACATCATTTTCTGCTATTTTATAACTAGATTTACTTTTCTAATAATAATCCAAACAACTCTATTTTTTTCAAATTAACTTTTTGACAAAAACCATTCCAAACATAATTATAGAATCTAACTTTTATCCAATTTTAAATTTTCAAAAGCCCAATTGAAAATAAATCATCTTCTCCCCCCCCCCCCCGGGCGGGGGGATTTGGCTTTCAAAGACGCAGTCTCCATTTTGTAGGCAAGGAGGGCCTGTATAAAGACTGAATTGTTGCATGGAATGGGAAGCATTTCATCAGTGAGGGGGAAAAATTTGTTCGATCCACAGCAACACTTCATCATCACACTTTAGTTATAATTTAAAAACCAGTTCGCGCCTCAAAAGCGGAAGTGTTTAATTGAGTCTTCTCACACGGTTCTGCTCAAAATTATCAAATTTGCATAACGCAACGCGGCGTGCTCAGAGAACCAATTATAACGATGTCATAGGACGCTTTCCACCCATTATTGTGTAGTTGGTGTTGCGTTATTTATTAATAGGGCACCTTGTATGATGCATCATGTACGTACCTAACTGTCTTCCAATTTAACAAGGAGAAAGTAAAATTGAGAAAGTCATACGATTTTTTTTTTAAAAGACTAAAGTTGTTAACTATCTTAAAAAGATCCTATACTTAAGATGAGAGGGAGTGATGTATAAAGGCTTTAGTGTCATTATAAAGGCTGAAAACCAAAACGATTTGATGAAATTATGGCAAGTTCCACAAGTACACCGCAGCTGCAAACCTAATCACATAATTTACAAGTTGCAGATGCTGCTAGAATTTTTTGACAGCTGAAACTGAGTCTGTGTCTCCAAAAGAAATACAATAAGGGGGGGTTTACTTCCAACAAAGCCACAAGCGTCGGCGTTCAATCCCTCCTCTTTTTCTTCTTCTCATTCTTCTCCGCTGAATTCTTCAGCTGCAAGAAAATCATTACAAATTATCCCAAGGGAAAAGAAGGAGGGGATCAAGGAGAAGAAGAAAACCCTGTCAAAAACGGAAAAGAACACAGAAGTGGAACTTACGACAATTATGAGAATACGGACAAAGATTGCAACAAAATCAGTAAAGAGGGTCAAGGCATGCTTCACATAGTCCAGATCCCCAAAGTGAGCTCTCTCAATTATTTCTTGGGTGTCAAATATAATGTAGCCCACAAACACCAGAAGCCCAAAGTACAGCTGCAAGGTTAACAAATAAAGTCATGTCAAATTTAGAACCAAAGCTTGTCAGATTAACTAGCAGCAGGAAGTAAAGCACTAAAGCTAACACAGCTTCAGAATTCAGATTGCTCCAGGATAATTCAACCAAAACATAAATAATCGGAAAACTTTACCTCAAACTTAAAGAGCGCAGCTGCACCCCCAAAGATGGAGGAAGCGAAGTGCAACCACATAAGAATGGACAATCCAGAAGAAAGCAAACCACCAAGATAGAGGTACTCTCTGCGCCTTGCCACCAAAGCTGCCGCTGAGAAAGAAGCAAAGGCCAACGAAGTTCCCACAAAGGCCGTGACGATGAGGCTGAAACAATTGAGATAAAAGAATTTTACTAATCGCCTAAATTCAAGGACCACAGAGCCCCACTGGGGTAAGACTAGAACAATGGGAGAAGAGAATGCAACTGATCATGCAAACTAACTCAAACCCTGGAAGCCAATGTAAAGCCGAACAGCTTTAGGGAGACAAATAAAGAAAGAGGGAAGCAAAAAGATCAAGAGAAAAAAAGTTAGAGCTGACATGTGCATTAAGCAAGATCTTTTGGCTTACAAAAAGACTTGCGAAAAACCTTCGTCATTAAATTATGAATATGATCTTGTATAACCCCAAGGCAGGGGTGACAGAAATGTAGGATTAAAATGTCAGCAAAGCATTTGCAATATTTTGCTTGCATAACGGTAATCAGAACCAGAAATGTAGAAAAGGTTTTATCCGCTATACACAAATATAAGGGAAGTCAGCACGCACAATGAGCTGAACAAACATGAAAGGATGTCGCAGCCCAAAGTAGGAAAAGCTTTAAGAGCAGAATACATGGATTAATAATACCTTGGATCAACATCAATAGCCAAATCGATCAAAGGACCAATGGAGGCCCCCTGAAGTAATGAGGAAGCCATCAACAAAGCAACCCTCTTTTTCTGCAAATCATGAAATAGAAAGTGAGTGACAGGCGTATTGCAGAACCATAATAATATAAGTAGAAGGTTGCAGGAGCCCGCCATTCATACCTCTTCATTAGGAGGAATGGACAGTAACAAGAAAATGCTCCCCAGGGACGCGACTGTTGTCAGCAAACCGCCGATGTTCCAGAGAACATGCAGGTAAGATCCGACGGCCGCAGCAACCACAGCGCAGAATAAGGCAAGATAAACCTGCAATAAATTTCAGAATGAAATATAAATGAAAAATTGACAATCTATCGTCAAAAGACAAATAGGAAGATTGATAACAGACGCAAAATATTAAGAGGTAAGCGAGATTAATTCAGCAAAAATAAGTTGAATACCCAAACAAGGTTCCACATCAAGTTCTTCGATCACCGATATTATCACAAGAAAAAGGTATTACTAAGGAATAACATGAAAAATCATTCATATGTTAAATACAGTATAAATAATTCTTCATTTAATACATAAAAAATTCGCCGACTCACGTTTCTTCCGTAATCAAGACTCGGAAACCAAAATTTAAAAATTCATCCATGAATCCAAATGAAACCCTAACTGATGATTTCAGATTTTCACCTAGGTCAATCTAAATCACGACGCAGAAATACAAACGAAAACCCTAACAGCACATTAGACAGCAAAAACAAAACCTGTTTAATGTGATTCTGGACGAAAGGAGAAATCTGGTGGAAGTTCTTGAGAGTGTCGTAATTCCAGCGGCTTCTGGAAGACGATTGAGGATCGAAAAAAGAAGCGAACGCGTCCATCGGAGTCGAACAGCAGAATTCGTTGACGATCAAGCAAGAATGGAACCAGAAAATGCAAACCAATACAAGTAGGTAGAATGGTAGATATGATTCTTAAATAGACTTGACGTAACGGATAGACTTGACGGACACCGAGCGGTAGGAGATTCGTCGGGCTCGATTTCTTGGAAGTTTCGTATCTTTTAATTGAAATTACTATAA